CATATTGGCAGGCTAAAAGAGAAAAATCACACAATTATCTATGCAGAAAAAGCATTTGGCAAAATTCAACCCCTATTCATAATAAAAACTTAGAAACAGAGGGGAACTTACTCAATTTGATGAAGAACATTAACAAAAAGCCTATAGCTAAACATGATACTTGTGGTGAATCACTGAATGCTTTCCCTTTAAAATTGGAAACAAGGCAAGAATGTTTTCTCTCATCATTCCTATTCAACATAGTGCTGGAAGTTCTAGCCAGTGCAATAAAGCAAGCAAAGGAAATAAAAGGCATATGGATCAAAAAGGAAGAAATAAAACTATCTTTATTTGCAGTGACATGATTGTCTAGGTAGAAATTTCCAAAGAATTTGCAAAAAAAAAAAAACCTCTCCCAAAACTAATAAATGAGTTCAGCAAGGTTGCAGGACACAAAATAAACATACCCCCAAAATCACTGTATTTCTATGTATTAACAATGAGCACACAAACACTGAAGTTGAAAATGTGATACCATTTAAAATTGCTCAAAAACAGAAAAATATTTAAACTTAAATCTACCAAAGCATGTATTGCTGAAGACTATAAAATGCTGATTAAATAATTCAAAGACAATCTAAAGTGGAGAGACATACCATATTTGTGGATTGGAAGACTCAATACAGTAAAATGGACAATAAAAATGTCCATTTTCCCCAAATGATACGCAGGTCTAATACGATTCCTATAAAAATCCCAGCAAGATCTTTTGTAGATAATATGAAAAGGCAAAGTAAATAGAAGAGCTAAAAACCATTTTGAAAAAGGAAAAACAGGAGCTATCAGTCTACCCAGTTTTAAGACTTATAGTGACAGTAATCAAGACTGTATGGCAGTGGCAAAGAGAAACATCTGGAATGATGGAATGGAACTGAGGACCCAGAGATAGACCTACACAAATACGCCCAGCTGATTTTTTAAATAAAGATGCAAGCAATCGCCGCAGCAACAAAAATAAATAAGTGGGATCTAATCAAATTAAAAAGCTTCTGCACTGCCAAGGAAACTATCATTAGAGTGAATAGACAGCCCACAGAATGGGAAAAAATATTTGCTCTCTACACATCTGATAAAGGGCTGATAACCAGAATCTATCTAGAACTCAAAAAAATCAACAAGAAAAAATCAAACAACCCCATCAACAAATGGGCAAGTGAAATGAACAGAAACTTTTCAAAAGAAGACAGAATAATGGCCAGCAAACATATAAAAAAATGCTCAACATCTCTAATCATTAGAGAAATGCAAATCAAAACCACAATGAGGTATCACCTAACCCCGGTGAGATTGGCCTCTATCAAAAAAACACAAAACAACAAATGTTGGCGAGGATGTGGAGAGACAGGAACACTTCTACACTGCTGGTGGGACTGCAAATTAGTGCAGCCTCTGTGGAAAAGAATTTGGAGATACCTCAGAGAGCTAAAAATAGAAATACCATTCGATCCAGCAATAGCACTATTAGGCATCTACCCAAAAGAGCACAAAACATTCTACGATAAGGACATCTGCACCCGAATGTTTATGGCAGCACAATTCACTATTGCAAGAATGTGGAAACAACCCAAGTGCCCGTCAATCCATGAGTGGATTATCAAAATTTGGTATACGTTTACAATGGAATATTACTCAATCATAAGAAACGACAGTGATCTAGCACCTCTTATACTTTCCTGGATTAAATTTAAGCCCGTTATCCAAAGTGGGGCACCACAAGAGCAGAAGAACGGGATCCATTTGTACTCACCATCAAATTGGTATTAACTAATCAACACATAAATGCACATATAAGAATAACATCTATTGGATGCTGGGCAGGGGGAGGGGGGAGGAGGGAGGAGGGGACAGGTATTGGTATAGACAAGGAGTGCAATGCGCACCACCCGAAGGATGAACATATTTGAAACACGGACTTGGTGGGGGGGACCAAGGGCAACATACGTAACCTAAACATCTGCACCCCCATAATATGCTGAAATAAAAGAAAAAGAAAAAAAAGTGATGCAAAAGCAATTCAGTAGAGGAAAGAGAGCCTTTTGACAAATGGTGTGGGAACAGTTGGATGTCCATAGGTAAAATAAAATACATAAACCTGGAGCTAAGACTCACACTTTATACTTATTTTAAGTTAACTTAAAATGGATCTTTCTTTTTTCCTTTGCCCACAAGGATGAGAAATCTAAATAATACTTTCCAAGAGGGACAGAGGAAGGGAAGGAAGGAGGAAGAGAATGAAGTGGTTGGCTTTCACTGTAGCCATTGGGTGATTCTGTCCCTTCAACAATGCTGAAAACCATCCCCTCAGGGTTCAGAGCTAAGCGAGTGGAGTCCCTTTGTGAGGATTCACCCTTTTACACAGAACTTGGTGTTGGGTATGCAGGATTCAGGCTATTCTGGAAGCGCCGCAGAATTGTCCTCAGAGATCATAATAGATTAGTGCTTTTCAGACTGTTCTTCTAGGCCACAGATTTTTTGAAGGGTCTTGGAGACCCTTGAAGATACCTTCAGACAGAGAAATTCTATTTATGTTCCTGGTTAACATTCCATTTAAATGAATGAATTATGGTTGGAAGAAAATTCAAAAGCCATTTCTTAACTGAGTGACCTTAGGCAGGTTACTTCACTTCTCTGGGTGTCTATTTCCTCGTCAGTAAAATTGGAATATTAGTAGAGTGATCATCATGAGAATTAAGTGAAATAATGCATTTAAACGCTTAGCATAATGCCTGCTATCTATAAGTGTGAAAAAATGTCAGTTGCTTTTTGTTATTGCTTTTATAATATTAGTAATTGTTGTCTCACCTCCTGGTATAAAAGAGGTACAGGGACTTTTTCAAGGTCACACCCCTGCAGCCTTGTTAGTACATGGAGAAAGAGCGGACGGCCTCTAAGACATGACCATGTCAGGACACGAGCAGGCGGCGGGGTGCTGAGGACCATCTTCTGATATTTGTCCTTTCTCTGCCAGCATGACGAAGCCATTCAGTGGAGAGAGAGTTACATAACTCTCTGTAGACAGTGAGCAAGGACTTCAGTGCTGTGGTTCACATCCTCCTGTCATAATTCCTAGTCCCTTCCTTGACCCCTTGGGATAGCAGCCCTTTGTGCTCTATATTGCTACCTTGGAGTAAGTTTTCATAGCAAAACTTACCATTAAAGAACCTCCACTTTGTTAAAAAGCAATGCCAACATTATGAGTACATTAGTGATTCAATGTGTATTATCTTTTTTTATTAGCCCAAGGCAGGTAAGATCTCTCTGGGTCTTGGTTTCATCATTTCTAAGGCAGAATAAGTGCATCTACCCTACAGGTGGTTAGAAGCAGATGAGATCATGATTCGTTAGTTCTTTGAAAAATATATAGGTAAAAATAATTTGAGGGAGGGAGGAGGAGATTATTATTTTTAAAATTGGAAAACAAAATCTATCCTGGGAAAGGATATGGGTAAACTGTATCATAAACAGGTATTTTTAAAAATTTTTACAAGCGAAATAAAGTTTTTAAAGTAAGGAATAGCAGAATAAAATATTTTCACTCAAAAATCAGTGAAAATAAATGTGTACAATTATCCAAGTTCAAGTATGTATTATCAGTCATCCAAACAGAATTTTAGGTCTATGTCAACAATCACATGCAGACAGTCCCTAACAAAAAAACCTAGGATTTCATTTATTTTATCGTGTATGTTTAGAATAATAAGGGCTTAGAAATGCAACGTGCTATTTGGTCAGTTTTCTAAACTAAAGCTTCGGGAATATAGCAGCAAGAGAGAGAAAAAAATCAGAGGGAGAGGCGCTACTTATTATTATGTACACATATTCATTAATAGTAGAGAGAAAACTTTTTAAAATAACTTGCAAGCAAAGAAAAACCACTTAAGCAATTTTATCAAAAAACACACCACTTTCTGTACAAAGTCTGGAGCTCTACTAAATACTGCATTTTTAACATCATTCTCTTTAACCTCCCCATTAACTCTGTAAGTCAGGTACCCATCAGCCCATTTTCACAGATGAACAAGCTGATGCTCAAAGAAATGAAGTAATTTGTCTGAAATCTCCTATGCAGGAAGTGGCAGCATGGAGTTTGAACTCTAATTCTTGTCACTGCTTGTATTTGTTAATTCAGTCATGCACTGCATGATGATGTTTCGGTCAATGACAGGCCACATATGGTCCCATAAGATACTATGTTTCTCCTGTACCTTTTCTATGTTTAGATACACAAATATCGTTGTGTTACAATTGCCTACAGTATTCAGTGCAGTAACAAGCTGTACAGGTTTGTAGCCTAGGAGCAATAGGCCATACCATACAGCCTAGGTGTGTAGTTGGCTATACTATCTAGGTTTGTGTAAGCACACTGATGTTTGCACAACACCACCGCCTAAGGATGCATTTCTTAGAGCATAGCCCCGTCGTTAAGCAATGCATGACTGTAATTAAGATTGGTATCATGTCATTAAATAAAATCCACAGAACTATTGGAAAAACCAAAGGTATCTGAGCCTTAGTTGGTGGGCTCCTCTTTTCAAGCTATATTTAAGGAAACAAAATTGTCATGGAGCAAAACACTTTTGGGCAGGATATGGAGTTCATTTTGTCGAAGTGAGATTAGGCTTGTTTTATCCTTTTTTTCTTTCCCTTTCAAGTTGTCCTTCTGATTGCTACCACTAAATTTCAGTGCTTTCTTTTAAGCATGGAGTATGTATTTATTTATCAAAACAGAAAACTGGTTTCATATGTTTTCGCTGACTGTAAATTCCATCCTGGAAACCCCCACAGAAATGAAAACCATGATCAGTGACTTCCCAAACCATGTAGATGGAGCCTTGCATAGACCAATGTTCTAAAGGTTCAGAAAACTGAACTCTGCAATCTTTCATAATTGCTTTAATCTTGGGAACTATACGAAATGGATGGATACACTGTCTTGAAATAATTTTTTATGTTTATTTTAGCAACTTACGAAGTTGGAATTGAAGAACTCCAAAAGGTATTGTTTCTTCTCTCCTTACCAACATTATAATGAAAAGTAAAACAAGTATACAGGGTTGATTCTAAAGGAGTTTCTTTTATAAGGGAGAAAAGGTGTTTATTTTTACTTTTCCTCCTATTGCTAATGCTTTTCCAGACTTCAGCCATTAAGAATCTGAACCCTGAGCCCTGTAATGTCAGAGACAGAAAATGTGTAATGGGATGAAAGGAGGTAGTTCTAATCTATGCCTGGCCCCTTATCTAGGGTGGCTAGCACCAACTAGGCTTTAATAACTGTGCCCTTCATAGAGAAGAGCTCTCCGGCACAATTCAGATTTGTATATTCCTGTGCTTCCAAGAAAATGACCAGACCTTCAAGGCACACTTTCTGGGCACCTGCTGGGTACGGCAATAGGTACCACCTGGAGGCAGAATAGCAACCTGATCAGGGCCCAGGCAGAGCCATTGCTGACCTCAATGCCAGCTCCTGACTGTGTAATCCTGAATCTCCATTTCCTCATCTGCAACAGAGGCACCATAAAGTACCCACTTCTGGGGTCCTTGTGAGAATGAAAGAAAGACAAATGAGGATAAACAGTATATTAGTAAGTGCCTGGAACAGAGTATTTCACCTCTCTGAGACTCAGTTGTATCCTCTGTAAAAGGGTATATTCCCCATGAGGACAGGAATATGTCTTGTAGTGAGTGTATCTGCAGTAGCAGATAGTAGATGCTCAATAAATAAGGGGCCCAGTATATGTTTTACTAGTTTATGAGAGAACAAAGTCAAACAAAGTATGTACTCACCTAGTACAGTGCCTGGCTCACAGGAGGCACTTACCTAGTGTTTTAATAGGGTCAATCTTTTCCTAGTGGGTACATTTAGTCTAGATCCTTGATCTCTCTGTTTCAGTTTTCTCATGCTTGCTGGTAAATATTAGTCATTTGCAGATACACTTTGTAGCTAAAAATATACAAATTATTATTATTCCTATTAATGGGAGTAGAAACATTCTATTAAAACACTTCACTTACCTGGAAACATCAACAAATAATAAACTGTTCTGCACAAGTGAACTCTCCAAATAGCTGAACTTTATCCCATTCAAATAAAAACTCATGAAAGTGTTTTTAATTTTTTAAATCTTTTAACTCTCTGACATGTTTTGTGTTCATCTCAGTATTTTTAAGCTCAGTGAGTAGAATCTGATTTCATCCAGTCTTGATGACTTCGAATATTCTTGACTATAAAGGACCGAGTAGACATAGGTCATGCAGTTCCTATGAGATGCTATTGGGCCCTTGAAGAAGAGCTAGTTGCCTTCACACCAAACCACAAGTCTGTTTTCTGTAATTGTTTCTTTTTTTTCTTTTTTGTTTCTTTTTCTTTCTTTCTTTCTTTTTTTTTTTTTTTTTTTGAGACAGAATCTCACTCTGTTGCCCAAACTGGTGGAATCAGTGGTGCCATCATAACTCACAGCAACCTCAAACTCCTCGGCTCAAGCAGTCCTCTTGCCTCAGCCTCCCAAGTAGCTGGGACTACAGGCACACATCACATGCCTGGCTAAGGTTTTTAGTTTTTGTAGAGATGAGGTCTTGCTACGTTGCCCAAGCTGGTCTCGAACTCCTGGCTTCAAGCAATCCTCAGCCTCCCAAAGTCCTGGGATTATAGGTGTGAGCCACCACACCCGGCTGTATTGTTTTCTCTTTTCTGACAATTATCATTTCTTTTTATTGTCAATATCTTTGTGTCTCACAGTGAGTCTTTCATGTGGTCAAACACATACCAAGTCCCATTCAGTGCCAGGCACTTGTGCATACATGGTATCAAATAATCCCAACAGTTAGCCTGTGAGCTGCTATCACTGCCTCCCTATTGCAGATGAGAACATCAAGGCTCAGAGAGGTTAAGTAACCTGTAAATAACGTAGCAAAGGTGTAAAACAAGGTCAGTCTGACTTGTCATTCTACCAGTATTGCATCTAATTTGCTCAAATTAGATGTAAAGTAAGAACCAACAGTCCCTGAATGAAGGCCTGTAGGGCTGTCCTCAAAGGAGAATGCAGTGAACTATTATGCCTAGATTTCATGTCAGCATTTTAGATGTTTAGATATTTTCTGTTCTTCGGGGTTCTTGGCGAGATTCCAGATAATGAATGGCATCAGATACGTGACCACTGAATAAACGAGGGGTATATTGTGATCACTTGGACATAATTTTAGTGGAGCCATATCTAGATCATGTGAGAGCTGAGTCAAGATCAGAGGGCACATAAGCAGTGAGCAGGGGAGAAATGCCAACATTACTTGCACACTCGTGAATTCCAATTTTTCCCACTGAAACATTGCTTAAATACCACAAATTCGTATGTCCTCAAATGATTTAGAAGTTCTTTATTCTACAGATACATTCCTGGAAAGGTGTGCAAAGAGCAATTTATTTTTCTGAGTTAAATCATACATTCCCCTGGGGTATGCATCTCACTTCAGAAATGCTTATTTTCTTCTGTGATTGATCTTCAGCCTCACTGCAACAATTCCTGGAAATTTCTGCTGTCAGTGTCTGTCTTTGCTCTGTCCTGAGACTTCAATCCCCTCACCTTTCGGTCTAGTGTCTACTGATCTGTAACCAAACAACAGAGCCTGATTTGGGTTGATTTTTATGAAAATAACAATTTTCCCCTTTACTTTCAGCCTTGGAAGAGTTTTTTCCATCAAGAACTTAGGTAAGTTTTATCTTCAAAAGGAAAAGCATTAGTCCAACCACTAACCCTCTGATAACTGAACTCATTTTCCTCTCTGGGCCGGCTATGTTTCCAGTGCCTGACCTGGTTCAGTTTCCCCAGCACCTTGCAAGGCGCCTGTACAGGGAAAGTGAACTGTGATCCTGCACCGTCTTCCTCTCTCGTCTCCTCCTAGCCCACACCGCACTCACTCAGCAAACAATTACGGAGTACCCAGCATGTGCCGGACGTTTGCCCACCACTTACTGGGGCTGTGGCAGTGACAGAAACCCAGGTACTGCCCTCAGCAGCTCCTGGATTAATGGGACAGTCGCATAACCATTTCTGAAATGTACCACGTGGTTTCAAGTCTCTTTGCCTTTGCTCATTTAATTCATTGATTCACCTCAATTTAATAATCTGGCAAACTTCTACTGATCCATCGAGCACCCCTTTTATAAGAAGGCTTCCTTGATTCCAATCCCTCAGAGAGGAGTATCCAGTCCCTGGCCCGTGGTACTGCTGTAAAGTACACATATGTTTGCACTAATGTCACCGCATGTAGTTTATTTACTAACATGCTGGTTAATTCTCTCCCTCCTCACCCCTTCTTATCTGGGAGATCCTTGTGGGCAGGGCTCATGTTTTACCATTCTTGGTGTTCCTGGTACCTCTTATACTTCCTGGGCCCAGGGCACTGCCTTGGCACATAGCAGTGCTCTTACCTGCCTCTTCAGTCAGCTTTAATCACTCTTCCCCTGGAGTTATTTTAATGTATTAGAAGAAACATGGTTGATGAGCTCTGGAGAAGCAAGTATCAAAATGTCCTGGATGAGTCTAAAAACACAAGTGCTGAATCATGGGGGAAGCTGGTGTTAGCTGGGTGGGCTACCTTCGTCTCTCTCCGTGAGTTCCTGCCTGACTCTAATTCATGACCCCCATAATTACCCTTTAGCACCTGGCACAGTGCCGGGTGTATGGGGGGAGGCATATGTCAAATGACTGTTTAGTTCAACATTTATTGAGCTTTTACTCTGTTCAGACACTGCTAGATTCTGAGGTACGAAATGAATAGAATATATTCCCTACCCTTGGTTCAGGATGGTAGGGGAAGCTGGGATGGTTGGGAGTGGGGGTTAGCTGGAGGGTAAAATAACCACATAAATAGGAAATTATCATGTAATATAATCACAGCTATGGAAGTTGTTAAAACACAGAGGTGAGGCATGAAAACCAGTCTCAAGGCGCCAAGAATGCTTCCTTGAAGAGTGACACCCGAGCTGAATCTTGGACGAAGTGTAGGAGTTAGCAGGTGAAAATGATGGAATGTATGTTCCAGGCACAAGGCAAAGTGTGAGCAAAGACGTAGGCTAAGCAGTAAGGCAGGTCCAGGAATCTACACAGTTTGATATCGCTTGGACACCAAGTGCAGTGTGGGAGCAGCAGCCAGGAAGTTGGGGAAGCATGCGGGGCTGGATCCAGGAGAGCCTGAGCCCCCTAATCAATTGTTTAAAACAGCCTCGTCCAGTAGTAATCTAATGCAAACCAGAGATGTAATTTAACATTTTTCTAGTAGCCATTTAATTTTACCTGTAAAAGAGGTAAAATTAATTTTCATGTATTTTACTTAATCTACCTGAAATAATCTCTTCATATGTAATTAATATAAAAATTGTTAATCAAGTATTTTATATTCCCTTTTTCACACCAACTCATCAAAACCCAGAGGTATTTTACACCTACAGCTCTATTTGGACCAGACACATTTCAAGTGTTCAGTAGCCATATGTGGCCAGTGGCCACTGTATTGGACAGCACAAATTTAGACTTTACCCTGTAGGTCAGGGAGAGCCACAAAAGAGTTTTAAAGCAGAGACAACGTACCCTCTCCCTCGTGGTATTCCTAGAAGTCGCAACATTAAATTTGATTCAAGTCGTTGATGGAGATTCAGCTGTGTAGAAACTATCGGACGGGATTTGGGGAGAGGAAGAAGGATTACAAAGGACAGTACATCAACAGGAAAGGTAAATGCTTTAAGAGAAACATCAGCCATGTGCTATGGGAATGTAAGAATTGGAGAATCTAACTCAGCAAGTGCTTCCATGGAAAAAAGGACACCAACGATTATTGAGAGTCCATTACACACTACGAACAATGCTAGGCTTTCAGCATTTTTTTTGTTCTCATGGCAACTGTGGAGATTGGCATCGTAACCTTTCATTTAGGGAAAAGTTTTCAATTAGCAGTAATCACACCTTGGATAAACCTCATTGGCTATGATACTGTCACTGCACAAAGCTGAAACCTTTTGTTTGTAGATGAGAAGACTTGATTTTTAGAAAGGTTAATTTAAGACTTTTAGGAAGAGGTAGAATGGGATGAGAACCCAGCTCTCACTTCTCGGCCCCTGTTCATTACAAAAGAACTAGTCTATGGCCTTAATGGTGTTCAAGAGTGCTCAGTAACGCGATGAATGAATGAAACTCCTTAAAACTCCTTCTCCTCGTCTTTCAGAACAGTACTCTATCTTGGTGTGTCTCCTTCCTTCATAACCACTTCTTCTGATTTTCTTTGAGGGTTCTTATTTTTCTGCCTTTCGTATAAAGGCAGTAGCAGAAGGGTTGCAGGATTATCCAGCTCTGTGGTCCCCAACACCCGGGCCGCAGCCTGTTACCAGTCCATGCCCTGTTAGGAAACAGGCCGCACATCACCACCTGAGCTCTGCACCACACGCACATCCCATGACGACGCCCCCCCCGACCCCAAGTCCGTGGAAAAATTGTCTTCTGTGAAACTGGCCCCTGGTGCCAAAAAGGTTGGGGACCACTGATCTAGCTCATTATAATGCCAGAAACAGAAGTTCTCACATGGATGATGATGTTCCCCAGCATTCTGTCCTGGCTTTTTTTCATGACATTGTTTACCTTGACTCTCTCACATGCTTCTCTGCTGCAGCTGGTATCCATATGCTGGTGCATGCCAGTCATTCATTGCATTGGGGAGTACGAGGTGAGAACCATTCCACGCCCAGCAAGGAGCTATCCCTACCATGAATCAAACAGCATCTCCACAGTGCTGGAAATACATGCATGAATAAGATAGTTTCTGACTCTTTATAACTCAATTTTTAGGTAGTTGATAAGGCAAAGTGGAGGAATTGGAGACAGGTCGATAGACAGATGTATTATACCACAACTTTAGGGGAGCAGAGAAGGTGTGACTGCTTAGGAGAATCAGGGAAGGATTCTGAGAGGTTAGATGATTCAGACAAACCAAGAAGGGTGTTGTGCTTGCTAGCAATGTAAGATACGGAAGACGTACCTGACAAAAGAAATAGTTATTAATAATAAAAAGGGAGAGTTGCTCAAATAGGGTGGTGGGTTTGGGGAATTATGAGAATCTAGACTCAAGAAAAAGTGGAGGGAAGGAGCAGATGAAGATGGGCTTAGAAATAGAGGTAGGAGCCAGATCACAATGCAACTTTGATTTTGTCCTACAGGCAATGGGGTGTTAGAAGATTTTAAGCAGGAATTGACACTCTGTCATTGACTGGAGCAGGCAGAAACTCAGGGGAGCTATTTATATGATTGGTCTGATCATGGTCCCCTTAAAAAATGATTCATATCTGTTTAATATTTCACATTTATTTTATTTATGATTGAGCAATACACTAACACCTAAATACTCTAAGCTTCACTTTTTCCCTGGTATCTCTTCACATTTCAGCCCGAAACATGAAGATGAAGATAAAAAAATGAAGGATAAAGAGCACTGTGAATTGGAACCTCTGAAAACAGAAAAGGATCCACATTCAAATCGTCCTTTCAAGGTACCTGTGTCCTAGGGTTCCTGGTCAAATGGTACAGTTAAGACACGCAACACAGAGTTCATGGGGATGACATTTTAGAGCTGAGACACACAGAGAGAGTTAGAAGATGCAATGGGTGTTGGACATTTTGTCAAGGAAATGAATTTGCCAATAACACTGAGCTCTAGCCCCCAGTTTTCCACTTATTCGCCATGAAGCAGGCCTGAGAAGCAGGGCTGGGACTAGAGTGAGTTTAGCAAGACAGCCAGAGTGCAAAATATAGAGCAGTTCTCACTCTATAACAGCAGGTGCTGTTCCTGCATTTGCACCACCCTGGAGTGAGGGCCTCCTTAAATTTTGTTCCCCAAGGCCTTGCTTAGAAGAGTGACTTGTCCCTGAGCTCCGTCATCTCATCTGTGAAATGAGAACAAAGAATCCCTATCCAACTACCATCCCCACTCCCATCCCTATCCTACCTTGTTTGTGACAAAATAAATGAATGAGCATGACAGTGCTTTGTAATCCATAAGCTACTATAGAAATGAAATATACTATTGTTGTTTTTAGTAATATTAAACATTGTGCATGTGTGTGTACATCTGCATGCAACTGCCACTCTCCCATCAAAGTAGTTAGCATGGTGGGAGGCTTAGACAATAGACACCACCAGGGCCACTACCAGTGCTCAATATATCATAGATACTTGTTTGAGATGTGCTTGTCTTTTAATAATCAGATTTTCCCAGTGCCATCTGTAGTGCTGGGGTAAATCAAAGAGCATGTTGGTGATGTGGGCCCAAATTGGTGTGTAGGCCCAGAGGTCAGGCTGGACAATGTTGGTTGCTTACAGAGTATCACAAAGCAGCATAATTCAAAGGATGGAGTAAGTCACTAATTAAGAAAGGCAGAGTTCAGAGTCAGGGGAGCAGCATGGGGTGTCAAGGCCAGGGGGCTGGGCAAGGCCATAAATGGGTGTGGAGGCTAGAGATCAGGAAGGGGTTGATCAGGAGCATAAAAGAAAGGCAGTAGAGCAACATAACTAGGGATACTGGCCATGGAAAAGCTCTTTTTCGGTGCTGGCTATATGGCATGAGCCAGAAATGGGCTCAGGCTACTGCCAAAGGGTCACATCCTTCTTTTATGGAGTGGGCTTGAGTTTTGGAAATTGTTAAGTGTTATTTGGGATATGCGAGATGATGAGGACACTGCATTCATTAAGGGACTGCACCGAATGATGATGGTCACTGTATTTGTATAAAATATTGACTTTATTACTTTCTTGTCATTTTTCCCCATTTAAAAAATTTCAGTCTTGGCTGTGTGACTGAAAAGAATGCCCCTCCTCTCGTTCTGCTCACAGTTTGCCCAAGATCCCACCAAAAATTCAGGATGATCCATGCCTTACATCTATTAATTACTTCATAGTCGGTCCTCACATCTACTCTGCTGTAGTCAGAAAGTGGCCCTTCCCTCATTCTCACTGGGCAATTAGAAGACACTCAGATGGCCAAACATGTTTTAGTTTCCTATGTCTCCAGTATCTCTTCCATCAGTCTATCCAGGTTGTTGTGAAAAGTAAATCTGATCGGGTTTCTCCCCTGCCTGGCTCACTGTGGTTAAGAAATAAAGTGCGAGCTCTTTGCACTTGTGAGCAGGATCCTTCACAACTCAGCCCCGTTGTCTCCTCTCTCCTCAGCCTCATCTCCGGTCTTTCTTCCCCATCTCTTCCCCCTTTTCCTTCAGCTCTTCCCTCTGCGGCAGCCTCCATGCCACCCTTTTACGGACACTAACAACTCTCCAAATCCCCCGTGCCTCTGTTCATGCTGATTTGCTTTGTCCAGGACTCCTTTATCCCCTCTACCCATCTCCTACGTGTATTTTAGAAAATACAGTTTAAAAACACCTGCTTTTTGAAGTCTTCTCCAACCCTGTCTCCCAGCCCAGAGAACCAACCTCCCTGTTCTGTTTCCATGGCAGTGAGTCATACTGCTGTAAATGACACTCCTCTCATTATACCCTAATTAATCGTTTGTGTGTGTTGTCTCCACGACCTGTGTGTAAGATGCTCTGTCCACTGCATCTCTCTACTTCCAGAGCGTAGCATGTTCTCTCACCTTCAGTAAGTGTTTGACAAATGCTGGAGGGAGAGGGTGCAGAAAGAGATAAGAGGGAACAGAAGAATAGTGGGTGGGAAGACCAAAAAGAAGGAAAGGAGAAGGAATACACAGCATCCCTTCGCAGTCAAGAGCACAGGGCTGTGGGGTCAAGTCCTGCCTCTGGAGATTACTCGCCATGGGACCAGAGAGCAGTTATTTAACCTCTCTAAGTTCTTTGTCAAGGGCACTAATGATGTTTTCCTCATTGGGTGGCAAGAGGATTGAGATAGAATATACAAAGAGGCTGCCCTGTTGTCAGAGCTCCATTATATCCTGCCTTCCTCCCTTGCACTGCCTCTCTGCCAGACATTCACTGGCCATTCAGAGGTAAGTGAAGGACATGGTCTGCACCCTCATGAAACTCAGAGTCTCGTAAGACAGCATTAAATAAATGAAAATAACTGTTATCCATGAGGAATGAATGAATGAAGAGTAGCATGAGTTAGTGAAGAACTGATTGGATAAGTCAGAGCCCTGCAGTACTCTCCCTGTTGCATATATCTAGGTAGATGCCTATGAGGGGACACCTGGAAAGATCCAGATGACCAACGTCCACGGAGGTGGAAGGAGCATGCTGGCTGGGAAGCAGGATGCTGCAACTGACATTACCTGGACAGAGGCCTCCCCTGAGGGCCCGAAGCTGGCCAGGCACTACCAAGGCCATGGTAAGCTGCATTTCTTCCTGATCCTCTTCGTCTAATTGTTTTAAAGTTGAGCACGGCAAAGATTTTAATAGAAATATTTACTGAATATCTATTATGTACCGAGTAACTGGCCCCAGTGAGGCAGATGTGCAATAGTGGAGAGAGCACTGAATTTAGAAGCAGAGGACTTGAGTTCAATTCTAGGCTGTAAGACTTACTAGCCATGTGGTAAGTGACTTCGTATTTCTGCCGCTCAATTTCTTCATTGATAAACAGGGATCACAATATGGTCTTCACAGGGCTTTTATGAGGACCAAATCCAATAGTATGTCACATGACAGGTGCTTAGCAAATGCATATTCTTTTCTTTTTATATCTATTAGCCCCCATTGTCTTTGAGGGCCATGTTATTGACACACTGATGACATCATATGGTATCATTTGTTGACTTTATTCAGGTTGCATTTTACCTTCATGTTAGTCAGGTCTTTTGATGGCAAGCAACAGTAATCAAAGCATACAGTGCTGAACAAAACAATAAACAGAAAAGGAGTTTCACTTCACAGAAAGTCTAGACATGGCTGGATCCAGGGACACAAACAATATCACAGGGGCTCGGTATCACTTTTTCTATTCCTGACTTTGCTCCTCTCTGGGTTGGCTCCATTTTCAGGCAAATTCTACCCTTAAGGGGGCAAGGTGGTATCTAGCAATGACAGGCTTGCAACTTATCCTCTTAGGAACCTGGAGGAAAATTAGAAATTTTTATGTTCCCAACGGTTTTAAGAAAAGACCCAGATCTGGGTCTTATTGGTTTTGATTGGGTCACATCCTATCCCTGAACCAGTCATTACAGATAAGGGATGCAGTGCTCTGATTGGTCCAGCATATATCATCAACTTGCCCCTGGAGCTAGGGGGGAGTCAGTTCTACCAACACTACATACTCATCGGCTTGGAGGATTCCTCAAGGAAAAGAAGATGGCTGTTATATAAAAAAAAAAAAAGACGCTGGGTAGACAAAATAGATATCCACTCTATCCCAATAAACTATGGCAAGCCACTGACATTTCATGTGTTGTAATCAGAATTACGGGAAGAATAAATTTTCAGTGCTCATAAGATAGATTCAAGGCCTCTTAAAATCTGCCCCCTACCTAGCTGGCCTCATCTGTGGCACATACCTCCTTTCCTGTTCACTCTCTGTGCTAATCTCAGTTTATTGTCTATGTCATGTGCATAATTTTACTTGAGCTCTTTCCTCTATCCAGAATGCCTTTTTGCCCACTCTGTACCTGCTGGTGTCCTATTCATCCTTCTATCCCCAAAGTCACTACTTCTGAGGCCTCAATAACCTTCTATCCATCTTTCTCCTTCCCAGAGTCCGTAATTCCTCACTCTTCTCTGTTTCCATGACACTTAGCAACAGAATGACTACTTTTTTCTGTATTAGCATTTGGAGTCAAGCATTTCTGGGATCCAGGACCACTATATATTAATACTAACCCGTAATTTTGGGAAATGTACTTACTTTCATGTGGAAAAAGGAATAAAACTACTAAATTTCCTAGGGCTGTTTGTCAATGCAAAAAGCCTCTGGTTCATATGTTAAATAATTATTAGTTCTCTTCATTTATTTTCTTTTTTTGCAAAATTATAGCATGCCTTACATTACAATTCATGATTTATGTGCTGTCTCCCATAGCATACTGTGGGCACTTTGACCTAAGAGATATTTGTTATTTTTATTTCTGTAACCTGGCACAGTGTCTGGCATACTGGAGATATACAACAAAATTTTGCTGAATGAAAGAATAAATCAAACTTCAGTTTGTGAGAATATGACAGATTAGGCAATATAAATGATTCTCTTAACTGAAGCAGATAAAGTGAAGAATAAGTTTTTTATCACAGAACTGATATAAAAAGAAAACATCCATGGATGTGCAGTACCCAGGAGCCCTGACGTGAGTGCCAAAGCTAGCTTTTGCCCAGAGGGATTTTACTGACCTCTGAATCCCCACCTACTTTTATCCCAGGTTTCAAATAATTCTCAAAAAATATTCTTTAAAAAATTAACAGCCGACAGTCAAAAATCACTAACACATGGGACACAACTCACAGTGAGTGAAAACCAGCACAATAACAGACAGCAGAACAAACCTATAAGATATTACAGATGTTAGAATTATCGGACATAAAACATGAGATATTTAATATGTTTTCTAAATGAAAAGAGAAGAATATGAACATGGAATAAGCATATTTTTGAATATTTGAAGAAATAATTTGATAAATTGATAATGAAACACAGTGATTGAATTACACATCAGATTATCTACAGTTGAAGAGGAAATTAGTGAACTAAAGATAAATCTAAAAAGATTATCAAAAATTCATTCCACGATAAAAAAGAATGAAAAAGAGGATAGCATACCTTACGTTATAATTCATGATTTATGTGTTGTCTCCCACGGCACACTGTGGGTACCTTGATATCAGAGATCATTTGGTATTGAGGTCACTGGTAATGAGAAGTCTTAAAATAACAATAAAATCAGAGTTCCATAAAAAGACACTAGAAAAAAATGGGAAAGAGGAAATAATAGATAAAAGAAATGTCTGAGAATTTTCCAAAATTGTTGAGAGATATAAATTTGTACATCTAGACACCCTAAAGTTCTCAAGCAGGAAAAATAAAAGAAATCCACACCTAGCTATAGCTTAGGGAAACTAAAGACCATAAAAGAGAATATCTTAAATGACATTAAAAGCAGACAAAAAGACAAGACCATTCACCTACAAAGAACAACTGAGTTCTGACTGCTGAGTTCTCAAGAAGAGTATGTAACCAGAATTCAATTCTGCTGAAAGTTTTAAATATCTATTCAGAATCAGGGAAACTTCCTTTCAAGAATGAAAAAAAAAATAAGGTATTTTCAGACAAATAAAAACTGGGATATTTTATTGACCAAATGAAATACACTGAAGGAAATTCTAAAGCATATGTATCAGGCAGAAGGAAAATAATCCCAGAGAGAAAGTTTTGGATGCAAGAAAGAAAGCTAAGTAAAAGTATCAACTGAATAAAATAATGATGTAAAATTGCAGGGAGGGGACTAAAATATTATAAAATAGTGAGCATTCATAGTATATATGTTGAAAAGGTGACTAAAATATTCTAAGGTTTTTAACTGGGAAAAGAGTCACAATATTAGTCTGTTTTGGCCTTAAAAATGTTAGAAGAGCTAGGATATATTCATAAAAAGATACCATTAAAAGAGTGACAAGGCAAGTCACTGAGTGGGAGAAGATATTTGCATTTTATATATATATACATATATATATTTGATAAAGGACTCATTTGGATTATATAAATCTTCTATAAACATCCTGTATTCAGAAAATATAAAATAGAAACCAATCAGAAAAAAAGAAGTATAGTGAAATTGCGAAAATATTGAACAGGCACTTCACCAAAAAGAACATCCAAAAGGCAAATACACTGTAAAAGCTCAACTTCATTAACTCTCAGGGAAATGCAAATGAAACCTACAATGCAATATCACAACCTGCCCACTAAACTGGCTGCAATAAAAAAGACTAAAATATTAAGTCTTAGTTAAGATATGGAGCCACTAGAACTCTCATTCTGTGTGGGGATTGTAAATTGGGATAATCATTTTGGAAAATTGTTTGGCAGTATTAAAGTCTAACCCATGCAAATTCTATGACCTAGCAATCCCATGCCTGTGTGTGTGTGTGTGTGTGTGTGTGTGTGTGTGTGTGTGTGTATACCCAACAAATGCATACTTTATTTCACCAAAACACATATACAAGATGTTCATAGCAAAACTTTTTATAATAGCCCCAAACTGGAAACTGTCTAAAGCCCATCAAAAGTAGAATAGATAAATTATAGTATAATCACACAATGGACTAAAGTCATGGGAATGAACAAATTACAACTATAAGCAACAACATGGATGAATCTCACAGATATAATATTGAATGAAAGTAGGTGACACCAAAGAGTACATACAGAATGATTTCATTAATATAAAGTTCAAAAATAAGCAGAATGTACCTCTGGTATTAGAAGTTGGTATAGTGGTTATCCTTATGGGTAACTACTAAAAGATAGACATAGCACATATACCTTCCAAACAAATAGAAAAGAAAAAAAATGAAGAAAAGAGAAGAAACTGCAACCAAGAAAGATGAAGATAAGAAAAATAGAACAAATAAAAATATGTAATAAGATAGTAGGTATAAATTTTAAAATTAGTAAACACTATAAATGTAATACACTAAATTCACTAGTTGGAAGACACATGAATTTAAACACTCAATATTCAAAAAATGTTTGCATGCCTTTTATGTGCCTGGCACTGTTCTAGGTACTGGGGGGTGTAGCAGGAAACAAAACAGAAAATCCTATCCTCATGGAGGTTACTTTCTGATTAGGGGAGACAGACAATAAATAAACAATAAAATATCCACTACATGGAATGGTTGTAAATATTATGAGAAAAAATAAAGCAAAGAAAGAGAAGGAGGCAAGCGGAGGTGGCAGAAGTTGCAATTCTAAAGTGCTCATTAATGACCTCAAAGACTTTAAATAGAAAGTCATATATGTGTCTGGGATATGAATCTAGGAAGAGGGAAAAAGAAGTGCAAATGCCCTGATGCAGGAGCCTGCTTTGTGCTGGTAGAATAGCAAGGAGGCCAGTGTGGCTAGAGCAGAGTGAATGAAAGAGTGTAGTAGGAGATGAGGTCAGAGAGATAACAAGGGGCTTTTGTAGACTATTGCAAGAACTTTGACATTTACTCCAAATGAGTTTTCAAAAACCATTAAAAGCTTTTGAGCTCAAGAAAGGCATGATCTGACTTGCATTTTAAAGACTCATCTGGCTGCTGTCTTGAAAATAGAATGTAGAATAAATCAGGGAGACCTGTTAGGAGGTTATTGCAATAATTTAGGTGAGAGATGATGGTAGCTCGGAGGAGGGTACCATGATAGAGTTGTTAAGATGTGTTTGGATTCAGAATGTAGTCTGAAAGTAGAGCTGACAGATGGCTGTGGATCGGAGGAGAGATATGAGAAAAAAACAAATCAAGGATGTCTCCAAGGTTTTGGGCCTGAGCAACAGGAAGGATAGAATCGCCCCATTTACTGAGTTTGAATAGACTTCAGGAAGAGCAAACTTGCACAGAGAAATTATGAGTTTGGTTTGGAACATAGTATGTTTAGACAACCAAATGGAAATGGTGTGAAGGCTGATGGGGTATCTAAAATTTTTGAGAGACGTCTAAATTGGAGATGTAAATTTGAGAATTGTCTATGTTTTTTAAATGAAGCCATAAACTTTTGCATTTGCCTCAGCCAAAAGGAAGGATTGAGAAAGAAAAAAAAGTCTCAAACTCAGAATTAAGCAACTGTGTGTTCAGTATCTTTGTTTTGTGCTAGAGAAATTTACTGATCTTATTTCTTTTTTACTGGGAGCTGACATTCACTGAGATGGTTTGGTGCCTACATGCTAATTGACTTTTTGTCAGAAAATTAAACTTGTTGCTTGGTTCATTTAATTATAAAAATAGATACAAGTTGATTCGACTATTTATTTCTCAAACATATTACTTCTTATTTCTGATTAACAGTTCATGTCTGAAAATGGTTATGAATTAGCCAAACCTAAATGTTAACCTTGGCCAACTGATGAAGAGTTAGCAATTTTCTGGTTATGACAAATTTACAGCTCTATGAAGTAAACCAGCACCTGCATTTAGCTACTTGTGCACACAGTCCCTATACATTTTTCAACCTGGCACACACTATGTTTTGGTTAGTTCCATCATTTACGTTGACATGTGCTCAGTCAACTTGTCCAAGAAATTTTGCTGTAAGAAAAAAATGCCACAAGACTGGATAAGGTCATCCGGATGTGAAGGGAGAAGCCCCAGGGATATACCCTGGAGGACTTCAACATTTGAGGTCAGAGATTAAAGGAAGAACCATCAAAAAAGAGGAGGAGTTACTAGTTTACTAGGTAACTAGCACCCTTCATAAATACATATTTAATCCTTGCCACTATCACATAAGAGGCAGTGTTGTTATCATTGCCTCCAACTTTATAGAATCACAATTTAGGCTCTGCAAGGTGAAGCGGACTTTCCAAGGACCAGACCTGCTAAGATTATAAGCCAGTTTTAGCACATTTAATCTGCCTTTTCCTATTTTTGCCTCCATTGAATGGTGTGTGTGTGTGTGTGTGTGTGTGTGTGTGTGTGTGTGTGCATGTATGATAGCAGCTGATGAGATGTTCTTCTGGGGGTTTCTGTTTTCCTTACAGGTGAGTATGTGAAGGCTTTGCAGGTAACTAAAGAAACCCCAGACCCAGAAGCCTTTAAGTCAAGTTCCATCTCAGAGGAGACATATGATGATGTTGAGTACCCCAGGAGAGAGACGTAAGTACATTCCAGCCTTTCAACATGATGAATGTGATGAGACCTTAAAGGTACAAAAATGCTCTTTGTATCTTTTCTCCCCACAGACCAAAGTCAGACTTCTCTAACTCATTTGCCTCAGACAGTGGTAAGTATAGGAAGACATTTCTGAAACTGCCAGTAGGAACTGAAAAGTGCTGCTATGGCTGATTAGTGATAAGGTGTCTTATTTATATATATTTTTAATAATAATACCAACTTGCTGGGGTGATAGTAAGCTATGAGAAGTGGTCCCAAGTTATTATGTTCTAGTAAATGCATTTAGAATCAGGAAGGCGAGGATGCCAGTATGAGTGTTCTTATAGTAAAAAGCAACTTCATTGGAATTTGCTTTTTTCACGATCTTTTCATGATCCAAATCTGATTACAGGAATGTTTTTACTTAAAACACTTTCGTGGCTTCACAGTACTTTTAGGGTTGACTTCAACGTGGTCTGGAGGCCTTTACTGGTCTGCCCTTACTTGCCTCTGCAGCCTCAGCTCATACTGTACTCAGTTTCATCTTTGAGATCCAGTTGTGCTGATCTTCTTTTAGATTTAAGAAGTGCCAAGCTCCCACTGCAGGGTGTTTCTTGTGCTACTCCCTTCCCTCTTCCTGGAAAGGTCTTTCCTCTCCTGGGACCCTTTACTTGACTCTTAATCTTCTGTTATCAGCTCAATCATTATTTCCCGAGGGGATATTTTCCTTGGTGTATAATCTCATAGTACCACGGACCTCTTTTTCATAGGACTTGTCACCGTTGTAATTTATATTTATGTGATTCTTTGACTAATAACTGTATCCCCTCCTATTAATAGATTATTATGTTCTTTATGCATATCATTTTCCCCAGCCCCTAGCATAATTCCAGGTATGTGTTAGAATTCAAAAAATATGTGTTGAATGAAGGAATGAGTGAATGAAAACCATGTTGGTCAAAGGACACAAATATCAGTTAGGCAGAAAAAATACTATCAGGAGATCTGTTGTACAACATTGTGATTACAGTTAATAACAATGTGTTATATACTTGAAAATTGATAAGAGAATAGATTTTAAATGTTCTCACCATAAAAAATAAGCATGTTATCTTAATAACATATATAATAAATATGGATATGTTAATTAGCTTAATTTAGTCATCCCACACTGTTTACAATTATTAAAACACCATGTTATATACCATAAATATATGCAATATTTGTCAATTAAAGAATAAATAAATTTTAGAAAAAGAAAAATAGAGGAGAGATAATCAGATGTTAGTGTTTTGTTTTGTCCTTAGAATCCCAGAATTTTAGATGGCAAAACAACCTTAGAGATCATTAAACTCAGTACCTTCATTTTAAAAAGGAAACTGAGGCACAGAGAAGTTAAGTGACCCCTCTAAGCTCACTGTGTCAAGTTTTAAACATGAAAATTCTGGCTCTTAATCTAATGTTCTTTCCATTAAACTCTGTTGTTAGGATTGACTCAAAGTATAATATAACTGTGTATATGAAGTTTATGTTTGGGGCTAGGATAAAGCCATTCTATGAAGGGAGAGATTATTCAAAATGTGTCTGGTTTTCCATTGTTTCCCCAGCCTTCAGCATGATGTCTGCTTAGTAGACTGTTCTGTATTAAATATAGGAAGGAGGGAGGGTGGAAGGAAGGAACCTACCAATGAACCAACTTCCATTGGCTAAATCAGGTCAGAGTTGGAATCAGGGGTGGAAATGAGTCTTAATTTTCATTTGTACATACTTATATAGGTTTTTTTTAAAACATATGCTTTTAAAAACATGCATAAGTTTCAATAAAAACTACTTAAAAGAAAGATCAAAGTACCTAGCATCTAGTAGGTATCTAATTTTTGTTAAATATGAGTCTGAACTATTGCCATTATAGTGAATGAAAGTTTTTTTTAATTTCAGAAGAAAATAGTGAAGAAATGTATGAAGATGTCTACAAAACAAAGAGTAACTACTCAAAGATAGAGTGAGTTTCTCGCTTTCTTGGCTTTGTAGGCTAATGGTATTTTCTGTTTGTTTAATAAAACCAGAATTTACGAAATGACTCCTCTACCCCATCACCATCCTTTAGGAAGGATTCACACAGTGGTGATAAGCTATTGTGATACTATACTATAATCAGTAGTGTACTTGTAATTGTGTACAACCATATGCTACAAATTTTAAATCATTTTGCTTTCTCTTTTGAGAAAACTCCATTTCCCAGAATAGAGGATTTTGATATTGTCTTAGGAAATAAATGAGAAAGGAGAAGTAAATATCAATGAAACGTTCTTCAGTTCTACAGTTTTGTTTCTTCCAGGAACAAATCAATGGTTATGACTTACCTTTGTCTTTGCAAGTTAGTAAGGTTGTCTCCAGGATTTAAGTTTAATTTAATATCTAGTAATTAAGTTTTATTAAGAAAAATATTTTTTTCAAATTGACATTATTCATCAAATTTAGTTATTAGGACACATTGTGGAAGAGAAAACAGCAGTGGTTAGAAACAGTAAGTTTAAGAGTTGAAAGGGAAAGAGTTGAAAGGGATCCTAAGCTGGGTATGCTAGGTGGGATGATGTGGGTGTATCACTCCCTCGCCATTCTCCCACCAAAAAAAAAACCTAAAAGGATATTCGTAAGAATTTTAGTTATCAGTTGGGCAACCCATGTATCACTATTGTTGTATTACTCAGTAAATAAAATCAGTGATGTGAATTTCAGGAGCCAGGAATCCCTATAATGCATTTCTAGGACAGTTCATAAACTACACTTCACCAAGTTACCTTTTCCTCCAAAAGGAAGACTTTGCTTCATAAATTGTTCAAAATAGAGACTATTTGGGGTATTGGAAGTTTGTATTGAAAGATAATTACTCCCTTCATAGTTGACTGGTGTGTGCTACTTCATATTGAACCAAAGAAGTAAAGCATAGAAGTTGATAAGGCATTTTCTTGCACGTCCTTGGGTATGACGTGTTTTGGAAATGAGACCGAAGCCTCTGGTCCTTTTTAATACAACCGTCTTCCATCCCTAGTACTCTTTCAAATCCCATTTTATTTATATCCCCTGATTCCTCTTAGTTTAGATGGAAAAGAAGCACTGAAAAGACTGCAGAAATTCTTCAAGAAAGAAAGGAATAGATTTAAAATGAAGAAAACCAAATCAAAAGAAAATGTAAGGTAAAAAGTCCCTTTTAATCTTTCTTTCCAGGAGGGATTCACAGTGCTGGCCTGGTAGACACAGGTTGATGTTCTCTATCCAGTTCTTAGAAACAGTGAGGGGGATATCAGAAACTAAAACCAGGGGCCCTAATTATCAAGTGAAACACACCCACAAATGCTAATTAATGAGAACGTGGCATGTCCCTTTGAAAAGTCTGAGGAGAAAAGGTTGTAAACAGGACAGAGGTAAAATCTTCAGCAAAGTCCAGAAAGGAAACTTTCCTCATCATCCTTGGCACCTATTCCTGTTGTCATCACTAAGCGTTTTGCTATTAATTATGTCCTTTGTGCTTGTTTGGCCCTTCAAGTTCCAGTGGTTTTATTTGCCTACACCTCCGTATTTGATTTGTCTCCCTTGAGAGCTGCAATGTGGGGAGAGGGGAGATGAACTGTTCAGCTGAATGGTTCATATGTGCGAAAATCTGAGACCTGGAAAGGACCCTCTGAGATAACTTAGGCTAATTGTCAGTCTTTGGGGGAGTTTCCAAATTCACCAGCATTAGGAGATGGGGGGCAGGGGATTGAATTCTAGGTTCTACTTGCAGTTCTGCCATTTATTCAGTGTGCAGCTGTGGATAGATCACTTCCTTTTTATATCCACAGGGTCCCAGCTTTCTCCTGCATACAATGGAAGGGAGGCTGGGTAGTCTCTGGACATACTTCTCTGACAGATAAAGATATACAGGTGCTCCTTGACTTATGATGGGGTTATGTCCTGATAAACCCACTATAGGTTAAAAAATACCTTAAGTCAAAAATACATTTAATACACTTAACCTATCAAACATCATCACTTAGCCTAGCCTAGCTTAAACATACTTAGAACACTTACATTAGCCTACACTTGGGCAAAATTAACTAACACAGAGCCTATTTTATAATAAAGTATTGAATATCTCATGAAATTTATTTAATACTGTACTAAAAGTTAGAATGGTTGTATGGGTACTCAAAGTATGGTCCCTACTGAACGCATCTCGCTTTTACACCATCGTATATCGGAAAAATCCTAAGTGGAACCATTTGTAAGTCAGGGAGCATCTGTGTAGACATACAGATATATAGATATAGATCTTTATTTTGTGAGAACAAGGGGTGGCAAAATAATTGGCCCATGGTCATTACCCACATTGAGATGGAATTATGTTATTCTACCCTAAAGTTCTTTTCAATTATAAAGGCTCAAAGTTTTGTGATTTTAAGTCTAATTGTCTGTTAGATCTTGATCTACTAAGAGACCCCAACAGAATATGGAATTTATAAATTGTAGTCTTGACTATGAAAGAAGAGAGAATTTACTTCCTGTGGTCAGTGACACCCTATGCACAAAGGCAGACCCTGATCTTAGCAAGTTAGATGTTTTCTGAGAGAAAATTATTGGCATGATAATTTGCAGTCCTTTAAATATTTGATCCAGATGAGAATGCTGATTCTTCTAAAATGCAAATCTGATTTTCTCTTCCTAAAACTACCCAATGACTCCATACAACTTTTAGAACAAATATCGAATCCCCTTCCATGCCAAGTAAATACTTCGTAACTGTCCCCACTCTGCTTCTCCAGTTCCATCTCTCACTAAAATGTTCTCTCACCACCCCCTACACCTCCCTGCAGATCTCAGACTCTGCCATAGGGTCTTGTGTCTCCTTGCTTTGAACATGACATTCCATTGGTCTGGAATGCACCTGCCTTCTTCCAACCTTCTTTGATTATCAAAGTTCTAGTTTCCCATCAAAATTTGGTCAAATATTACCCCTTCTGGGATATCTTTCCTGAACCTCTCTACCCAAACCTGGATTTCCTGTCTCTCCTCCTTGTTCCCATAACATCCTGTGCACCTCTGTGACATCTATTAACATCAATGAGAATTCCTTTTTCTTAGAGTCAGAGACTCTCAGGGTAAGAAGGGGAATATGGAGTCATCAGTTATGTTGTTTAAGATGTATCAGCGATTCCTTCTAAACATGGCTTTTTTTCCTTAATCCTTTCGTGTTTTTTGTCACTCAACAGTGCATCTTCCATCTCACTGCCTGATTTAGGTAAGTGACATTTGTTTATTGCTGACCAAAAGGACTCAGCATTATAATATTCAGGGGCAGGGAAAGAGAAGTGGTGATCTTTCCTGCATTCCCAAATTTAATGAAAAATTGATCCATCAAAATCAAAGAAGATATTTTACACACAATATTTCTTACTTTGGGGAAGATGAATAGTATTTCTTAAGTACCTACTATAATACCATACCCTGGAGTAGATGCTATCTTCTTAAAATCCCAGAGAAATAAATGTTATTCCTTTGTAGGGAGGCTCTAGGACCAACGTCCATACTTGAGTCACCTAGGATTTGTAATCAAGTCTCTCTATTATGAAACTCACACATTTCGTTTCATACTACACAGCCCCTTGAAGGATTTGACAGCCTAATTAAGACATACCAAGTTGAACAGGATCATGCCGAACTGAATCAAGAATGGGTCACTGAAATAACTGTTTACTTTTCCATTGAAATAATAGTGTATACATTAGCAGAGTGCCTACCACATAGTAGGCTCTCAATACATGTTCAGCACATTGAATTTGCAAGTGAAAGAGGGCCATGTGATTTTGTTTTTGTTTTTGTTTTTTAATGTGCTGTAGCAATGTGGCTACTTTGATATCACTCTGTCTTGACCATTCAAATTTATATTATATTCCACAAATATGAGTTTGCTGAACTAAATAACAAATGAAGATTATATATACCTGGTAAAATCACAGGTCTCCCAACATACCCTTGGTCTGTGTTTTTTTTTAAAGCCAACTTAGAATAGACATGCATTTACTCTCACTCAAATTTA